AAAAAAAGAGAGAGGATCCACGTGGCTCTCAAGCCAAAATTCCCAAAGACCCTGATCTCCACTTGAGAATCTTTGGGACCACATGCAGACCTGTTCTGGCAATGGACGAAAGTTGCCACGCCTGAGGCAAAGGGACTTGGCACATCGTAAGCGTTCTTCTATGCCCTCACATTTAAAGGCGGTTCCTGGAACATGGGTGCAACGAATTAAGAGGTTACCAGACGGACAATTAAATAATTCAAATCTAGATGGTGTGCAGAGAGACCTTCAGTCCTATGAAGGCGTCGCTACTCTCACCTTGTTTGGTTGGCCACCGTTAGAGCCGGTCTTCTTCTTGCACTGCACATGGATGGGAATCGAGACAATTGATTTTACTCTTGCTTCTGTCAAAGCCCTCACCTGTCGACCAGCCATGTACATGGAATTGCCTCAGTACTATCGATACCAAAGGTAGAAGGACAGGACTGTGTTTTGAAACTTGACAGTCATCTATGGCAGACCGATTCACCTAAATTATTTTATGAGCAACTATGTCGCGGGATGATCCAACTGGTTTCGAAACCTCGGCAGCAGACCCATTTTTGTTTATTCATAAGGAGACATCAACTCATGGAATTAAATTATTGTGATGACCAAATCTGGCTCAGTCCAGACAATGATCTGATTGAGTCCTATTGTGGGCAGCTCCAGAAACTTGGATATGACCTCACCATGAAGAAAAGGTACATCTTTGGGTTCCTCGGCATTAATTTTGAAAGACAGGGAGACAATGTTGAAGCTTACTCAAAAAGGGCTCTAATAAAGTACGAATATACTGGTATGTCTGACGCTAGCAAGAAGCTTTCCCTGCCGCTACCGATCCTCTCGGAGCGGACAAACTGGGGGCCCCATTTGAAGAAGAGTGGAGCTATCCAGCTGCAGTTGGGATGCTTCTTTATATTGCGTCGAACACCGCCAGACATCACATTTAGTGTGCACAGGTGGCACGATTCAGTCACAATCCAGGCATTCCCATGCTCAAGCAATCAACAGTATCATTCGGAATCTGATTGGCACAAGTGACAAAGGCATTTGTTTTAGCCCTAAACTTGATCACGGGACTTGACTGTTGGTCGATGCTGACTTCGCCGGATTGTATGGATATGAGGTGAACAGGATCCTGTGTCCGTAAAGTCTCGCACTGGATTTGTCTGACTCTGTTTGGTTGCCTATTATCTGGTCCAGCAGGCTACGAGACTGATATTACCTTGGCCACTGCTGCTGAGTATGTTGCCTTCAGCATGTCAATGAGGGAGCTGCTTCCTATGCGACCTTTGCTCAAGGAAATTGGTAGCACAACTGAGATATGCCGGTAATTCTGACAGTCTCGTGCGCTCTACAGTGTTGAAGACAACCAAGGTTGCTTGTCTCTTGTGAATGTTCCCAAAAATGTCTGCGCGCAACAAGTATTTGGCATTGAAGTACACTTCTTCAGGTCCAATACTGGGGAGTCGAAGGGCATCGTGGCTAAGTATATCCGACTCTGGAACAACGGGCCGACATTTCACTAAGGGTCTTCCGGCTCCACGTTTGCTGTCTTCGGAAGCTCCTCAGGGATGGTAATTACCTCAGCACTTTGCTGGGGACTCTCTCCTATCGTTTCTTGCTCCACTTCATTTCAGCTGTAAGGGAGTGCGACGGGATACAGCTTACAATTCAGCTTTACAGCTTTACAATTAGCAGGCTTATTCTAGAAAATAATCAATACTGCTCACTTATTTGGAAATACAAACTTTACATCTCTTAGATCCTTAGATTAATCAATGCACAATGGTATTGTCGCAGTAGTAGCTAGTAATAAGGCATTGCAATCTCCAGAAATGCACACTGCAGCAAATTACAGAACCTCGTGCCTTGGGGCCATCTTTGGAGCACACAGATGGCTCTCCCAATACTGAAAGTCGTAGGTTGATACTGGCAGTTGACGCGGAAGTTTGGCTTCAGGAATGCTCAGGTTGCAAATCTGTCTCGTTTGAAATGCTTTGCTTCACTCAATCGTTGGGTTCCGGAGTTACCATTGTTGGCTTGTGTAGCGGTACACTCAGTACCGTACCCTCAATCAGTCATGGACTCAACACCGCCCCTTTACCCCCCTTATTTCTTCTTTATCCCCCCATTAGCGTTTGACGGAACCCGCAGTGGGGGCTTCGCGGCTTCGCCTTTGCCATTTGCCTCATTGAACTTCTTCACGTCTCCATCAAGTGATGCCAGCAACGGCGATATCATTCTCTTGTCAGAGTCGATAACAACATGTCCTTTCCAAGCCACCACTCGTACCTTCTCTTTCTCCTTATCGTCGTTATCCACATCCATGTAGGCTCCTCATTTAATTTTGAGATTGAACGGCGTGTGATGGATGCCATTGAAGCTTTCTTTGGCGTCCCCGAAGATATGGTGTTGATTCTCAAGGAATATCGGGCCAACGGAGGATTTGCCAAGGACTTGCAGGCATCGGATCGGGATACCTTTGGGGCGATTGCCCATTCCATCCGGCAAGTGTCTCATGTTGACATGATTTACTATGGTGCTGAAGATGGAGTCTTCATGGGGTATAATATTGCTGGATGGGGCACCTACCGAGAACCAGGGAGCAGTGGATACAGTTTTCCCTCCGACGTGGTCACACCCGAAAATACTACAGCCTCCACCACTGCCATGTTGTATCGAAATACGTGCGTCGATCGCATTTCTGGGACTCCAGCGGTTTGCGCCCAACAACCAAACACACCGTACATTCAATGTGACAATTGCAAAGCCTTGGAGTTGTGTCCTATTGTTGCCAATGATGATCCTGCCGCTACTGGTACTGCTTCTGGAAGGACTCGTGAAAATGGAGAAGAGCAAGAAGAAATGTGGTGCTATCAGTACGATATTGTCAACACAAGCACTTCTTCCTTGATTACTGGTTATATACCCCGCACTTATCATTGCCATGATATTCAAGGACAATTCTCACAAACACCGGGAATGATTGTGCAGCCAGATGGATCTCTAGGGGATTGTCTCTATGCCGACCGATCCACAAGAGTCAACCGCAATATTGTTGGAAACTTTGCCTACTGTGAGGATTCAGACAATGATTGCCGCAAGACATTTGTAGGGGGGTATGACAACGTAGATTACGACCCACGCTATCGAGTCTGGTATCGCACTACCAAAGAACTACAGCGACCCATTTGGTCCCAGCCCTATCCGTTCTTCTCATCGGGCAAGTTGGGTCTAACCTACAGTCATCCCATTTACACCCACAATGATGATGGTCGCAAGATCTTTCAGGGTGCAATGGGCGTCGACTACACATTTTCCGATCTCAACGCCTTCCTCAATGCCAGCTACAGCAATGCCAATTCCATTGTCGTCATTTACGAACAATCTGCACCACATTATCTTGTGGCGTCCTCCCCGGGTTTCCAAGCCGCCGTCAAGGTATCCAAAAGCGGCATGATGAACAGTCCTTGTCCCTACGAAGATGACGATGTAAGACAACAACAGCATTGTACTATTACGCGACGATCCGTTACAGACGTCGACGCCGTCAATGACGGTCTCGAGGCAAGACTCGTACAAGCAGCCTATCAAAGTCAAGTCAATGCCAACTATCCCCGCGGACTGGTTAGTGTCGATGACTTGACACCAGAGGGAACAGCTACACAACAAGCCTATGCCTCACAGTCATCCTTCTACTCGGCAGAAGGAGACAAGAACCTGGACTGGGTGATTTTGGTGATATCTCCCGTGACACGAAGTACAACCGATGCCGTCAAATCAGAAGACAGTCTCTTTGGAATTGTCTGTGCCATTGCTGGACTTGGATTTGTTCTCTGCGTTTTGATGCTGGTTTCCTTCCTATCGCAGCGAAAATCACGGGCCATTATTCTGGCAGATATTCTGTTTACATCGGCCTTTCTGACGGGCTGTGCTTTGACCAATCTTTCCAGTTTGACATATTTAGGCGACAACACACAAACACTCTGCATTGTACGGATGTGGTGCTTTCACTTCCTCTTTGCTTGTGCCCTCTCGCCACTCTTGGTCAAAGTGTACAGGATCTACAGGCTTGTGGGATCCACGGAACGAAACCCATCCATCATTTCCAGTACAGTCGCCTTTGCCATGACGCTACCCATCATTTTAGTGCAAGTGGCCATACTCACCATCTTTACGGTTGTCTCGCCACCTCAACCGGAAGACTTCATTCTGATTGTGGCGGAAGAAGATGGGGGCAGTGTGACACAAGTCGTTCAATGTCAACACGAATCACCAGCCTTTTATATTACCATCCTGACCTTTGAGTTTGCCTTGGTCTTGATTGGATGTGGTTTGGCTTTGCGAGCACGCAAAGTCGATCCGGGATTTGGACAAGCTACCGAATTGCTCTTGTCCATGTTCAACATTGCGTTTATTGGCATTGGGATTACCATTATCACGGTAGCCATGAATGTCGACCAGCAGGCTCAGGTTGTCCTCTTCACCATGGGTGTGTTTTGGGGAACGGTTTACAGTTCAGCTGTGTTTGTTGTTCCCAGATTTTTGCAAGCCCGTCAAGATGTACAGCAGCGGAGGTCAGCGAGAACACCAGCCCCTGCTGTATCAGAAGAAGCACCTGATCAAGACTTCCAAGTGATTCAGACCGAAGCAAGGCCTTCGCCTCCTGTCGTTCTTAGCGAAGACACGGGTGACAATCGGGGCTACAATCCCAGCAGGCGACTTTCGGACAACGAAGACACAGGGTGGTCTGAGTTTGAGCACGACGATGGTGTTGCCTTGGGAACTCGCAGCACGACCAGTCAGATCTAACCTAATCCAACAAGTGTTCTTGGGGCCATCCAGAGATCCCAAGGTCTCCACCACTGAAATTCTCACCGGCTGAACGCTGGTGTTGCCCACGGATCTGAACGGCAAAATCATATCAGCGTAATGTTGGCTATCGGTCCGTACAGGCATTGGTCGCGTTGGTTGCCGGAATGCAGTAGTTTCAAGACTTGTTGGGAATAGTTTTGGATTGCTGCATTGTCAGTATTGCACTCGTGGGATACGGGGATATCGGTGGCTTTCCATTGATGAAGTAACCAATTCATATAAGCAGTATTTTCAAAATTCTTCATCCACACACAATTTCCAGTCGATTGCCGTTGGTGTATCAACGTGTAAGCTAGATGTGGGCCAATCCCCAAACCATTTGCTAAAGCAGTCTGTAGCGCATCTCCACACATGGTCCTTTCTTGGTTTGTCCTTTCATGTTTAAACACACGGTCCGTTTTTTGTATCTGCGGTCTTTGGCATGGTTGGCCTTGTTATTAATAAACAATATCAGTGTAAGGTTGGGTTACGGCAGGGACCATTCATCTTTGCATCAAATTCGTAGCTGGATAGCACGCTCTACAGGCGGCCTGCCTCAACTATGTGAAAACGAATATCATCCTCGTCATGGTCGCGATGGCCAATGTTGCAACAAGGGAAACAAGGATAACAGCGAAATCTTTCTGCCTAATTATATCGCGTTTCCTTGGACCGTACTGTATAGCGGAGATATATTTTTTCTTGGGCAATCAAGAGGATCTTTGCTGTTGGCAATGAGCTTGCTAGCTAGAGCTTGGCAATCGGCAAAAAGCATTTGCTTTTGGCATTGGCTGAGGGAAACAAAACTTTGGCTCCTGCGCGCAAGCAGTACAATTGTGACATTTCATTGGAGTTAGAGGTACTGGTATCACTACGGCAGTGCCGTGCGGTTGGAGTTGTCACTTTCACTTCCAGCATCTTCCGATACAATCAACTCTTTAGAATTCTTGATTGAATTCTCTTCTTTGGTCAAGCGCCAACTGTTGACATTGCAGTTTCAATGGAGTCAATCATACCATCACGGAAGCCAGGAGAATGGGCTCCTACTGCCGCTGGTTGCAGGGAACCATCATTAGACCCGAAGGGACCATCCTGTTCCACTTTGGGATCCAAGCTACTGTACGTTCGTTCCCACCATGGCAATCGATGTGAGTGATCCTCGTGCGGTGAGCCGCGATGTGTTTTCGGCGGTGCTGGGCTCCTTGACATGCTGCTATTCGGGACAACCTCTGGACATTATCAAGGTCCGAATGCAAACGAATGCTGCTCAGTATACAGGAGGAATCTATTCATCGGCACTCCAAATCTGGCGTAATGAAGGACTCGCTGCGTTCTGGAAGGGGTCGGTTCCGACAGCAATGGGCATGATGAACGAGAATGTGGTTGCTTTTGGAATCAATGAAGCTCTCAAACGAAGTTTTCCGGACGACCCGACCACCCAAGCCAATCAAGAGCCCAATCTGATCAAACCGTTTCTCTTGGTGAGTTTGTTTTTTGTTGAAGAACTGGAGAAAAAACCGTGTGAATTTTTGTTCTCAATCATTTTCTATTGACACCATTTCTCAATTCAATCATCCACAGGGACCAGTCACTGGCTGCAGTGCGGCGCTAGTGTTGTGCCCGGCTGAAGTCGTCAAGGTATGTGCCAATATACTTGTAGCTATTCGCTGGCATCATCGTTCGATTTGCCTTGGATCCACTACTAGTAATGCTAGTTACTGATTCTGCTCTTCACAATTCCGAAAGGCAAAAACCCAGGTTGTCTATGATTCTTGTCCGAAATCCATTGCTCGACAAATGATGCGGCAACATGGGATCAAGGTGAGCTCCGCTTTTTTGATGCCACATTGGTGCTGGAAAATGTATTCTCTGACAGACTTACACCAAAACTCGTACCTTCGTTCTTTAGTCCTTCTTTTGTGGTTTGGAGGGACAGTTCCTCCGTGATGGATCATTCTACACCGTCTTTTTTGGTGGATACGAAGTCTGCAAGTATACATTCAGTCGACTATTCCCTTCCATGCCAGACCCCCTCAACTTTTACATTAGTGGAGGCCTTGCTGGAATGGCGGGGTGGGCCGTCGCCATCCCCTTTGATGTTCCAAAAACGGTTGTCCAGGCAAAATTTGAAACCAGAGTCTTTGGTGATTACTTTCCCACCATGCTGGCCATTGCCAAGGAACGAGGAGTGAGAAAAGGTCTCTATCGGGGTCTTGGCCCAGCCCTTAGTCGAGCATTCATTGCCAACAGCGCATTGTTTTTGGGTGTGGAGAGCGGCAAGATCTATTTTGATACGGTTTTGTGGAAGGAAACGGCCGATCATGAGCATGCCATGCACCTTCTACCGGCGGGCAGCACTGGAAGCGCAACGTAGTAGTTGCGTTTGTGCCGCGATATATTGTGACTTTCTGTGTGATGGTGGCGCCATCTAGAAGATCGAATAAAAGTTCATAAAAGAATGCAAAGGCATCATCTAACTTAGGGTACCAAGTGCCACCGTATTGTCGTATCGTTTCGTATCGTTCTAGTAGCGAGATTCTTACTGTTCCACTACCAAAGTTTGCGGCGCTGAGCTAGCCCAAATTGGACCAAACCCTGTCTTACATGTAAGTGTAGCTTTACCAACACATCGTCTGCCTACCGTACTTGCCAAACCCCAGGATCCACCCCAGGGCCACCATCTTGGACTCGCACCATGCCCAAAGGCAGGCCCTTCTCGAGGACCAACCATGGACGGCCCCACTCCTGGACCGCCACATGGGTCTACCTACGCTTGGACAAATCCTCCCAGTGCAAAGGTCCATCTGTTGGATCCAAACCCGGCCCCGTACCTGGACCAACTCCAGGCCCCGTGCTATTGGATCAACGCAAGGCCCCATAGTAGATGGACCAACTCAGGGCTACACACCTGGACCCAAACTTGGACCTGTACCTGTGCCTGGACCAACTCAAGGTCCAACACCTCGACAAATCCCAGCGCTATTGGAGGATCAACACCAGGACTGACTGTCACTCCTGGGCCCGCACCAGGTCCCACACATCGTAGCATCAACCACTCCTCTTGACTTTGAACTCGTACCGGTACTAGTACAGCTCCTGCTGGCTTCATCCCAACTCGTCACCACCCCGATCTCTTTGTACGGTACTTTTCGTGCTCGTTGGTTCTTCTGCCCATACTAGTAGCAAGCCGCGCGTAGCGCTAGCTCAGAAGCTGCTCAGAGCACCTGGCTGGCTGTAGGTGTGTTTTCTACAGTGAGTCGCTTGATAGGAAATAGGAGCAGGTGATGACATAATTAAAATCGTCAAGGGTCACTAAAGAACCATTCTATTATTCTATTAATACACTGTAGAAACAAAAGAAAAGATGTTGCTCAATTCGGAATTCGGAGCTTCAAAAAGAGATTTAACCAGCCACTGCCAGTTATTCTGCTTCTGGATTTGAAGCACAACGGGTTCAGTGTTCTTGCCTTTCGAGCTCTGTGTTCCTCTCCTCGTCACTCTCTCCTCGCTCTCCCACCTCAACTCAATAGCAATTGTTTGGCTGCTACCACCGGCATAAACAAGAGCATTCTAGCTGGCAAGGGAAGGGCAATGATGAATAAAGATATCAAGCAAAAGGACCAACGGGGAAATGGAGACCCTGATCTTGTTGACGATTCCGGTAGTGGTAACGAGTTGCTGATGGCTATCATAAAGCAACGAGCTATGCAAGGAAGCCAAAAAGCAGATCTCGACAACATTGCTGCGGGTGCAAATCGAGCAACGGGTGAGGGAGATACTAGTACAAAGACCCTGGAAGAAGATGGGAAAGCAAAACGTGACTACGCACCATCGGCAGGACTACAAACTATGATGCCTGCTGTCGGTGTAGTAGCTCTTGACGATGGAGACAAGCTGGCAATATCCGAAGGTACCCCACAAATGTCCGCATGGCTAACGGCCAGGGCTCAAACTGATTGTTTACAGTACGAAAGCCCGACAACCGACTTGTCCACATCAAAGATGGACGAAGTTGATCAAAATGAAACAGCTCCTGGGGCTTACGCACAAACGGCAGGAAGACGGGAGCGCCGAAGACCCTCTTTCTTTGAAGAAACTACAGAAGACTTGGATCTGTCCGAAGCGAATGTGGACCTCGAGGATCCAGGAAGCCGGCGTTATGCACCTTCTATGGCCACACATCAAGAAATGCCCCCCGCAGTCGAAAGTGAAGACAATGGAAATTCTGGCCTAGTCACAGCATTTCCAGTACACGAAGATGGCATCACAACGGCTGAAGCGGTGGATGATATCCAGCCATCAACAAAACAGAGATCGTTTTGGGTCATTGCGGCATCGGTTGCTGCACTTCTCTTTTTGGTTGCAATTATTGTTCCTACCACTATCGTTGTCGTAATGTCCTCCACAAACAATGACCAGAGTGGCAAAGTCACATCAAATCCCAAACACCCAGAAGCGAGCTTGGCTCTGAGTCTCCCAGACTTCACAACTACCGCTATTTTGGAGGATCCAGTGTCACCACAAGCCAAAGCGTACAGCTGGTTGCTTGAGGATCCCTTCTTTGATGAGTTCACCGAGGCAAGAAAGTTGCAACGCTTTGTCCTTGCTACGTTGTATCACGCCACCAACGGGGATGGATGGAGCATCCAGAAAGACTGGCTGAGCTATGAAGCACATGAGTGCCAGGACTGGTACAGTCAAGTATCCAACATTCCTGGTGAATTCCAAGTCTGCAATGGAGAGGATGAATACACTTCATTAGTGTTGACCTCCAACACGCTCATTGGTTCCATCCCGCCAGAACTTGGACTCTTGAGTTCTTTGCAACTCTTACTCCTTGGAAACAACTACCTTGCAGGGTCCATACCACAATCAGTTTGGGATATTCCTGCCTTGGGGATGCTAGCACTGAACGGAAACCAGTTGACTGGGTCGTTGCTTCCTGAGCACTTGAAGGCCATCCAGCATGGCATGGTTTGGCTAGACTTGCATGACAACAATCTCCAAGGAACACTGGCAACTGAGCTTGGCTTGTTGACTGCGTGCACTCATCTTGGCCTGAACGACAATCGCTTCACAGGGACAGTTTCTCCAGAGCTTGGACAAATGACCAACATGGAGAGAATTGCATTGAGTGCCACGAAGATATCTGGGTCTATCCCACCAGAGCTTTTCACCCACTGGGGCAAGCTGGCACACCTTGAACTCAGGGAGAATGAGCTCAGCAGCAGCATACCCACTGAGATTGGGTTTCTGACTGCCCTGAAGGAATTTTACCTCTATGACTGCAGTCTAACTGGAACCATCCCATCAGAGATTGCCCTGTTGAGCAACATGACAAACTTTGTGGCCAGTAGCAATGAGTTGTCTGCATCCATCCCAGAAGAACTGTGGGGCCTGACACACTTGAATGATTTCTTCCTATATGGGAATCTTCTTTCCGGTTCTCTTGCAACTGAAGTAGGTCTCTTGACAGATCTAGTGAGGTTGGATGTGGGAGTGAACAGCATGGTGGGCACAATTCCCAGCACGTTAGGTCTGTTGACAAAGCTGACACACTTGAGGCTGAGTGACAATGCATTTGAAGGGAGTCTTCCATCCTCCGTTTGGAATTTTGCTTCCTTGGAGTTTTTGTGGGTGAATGGCAATGTCTCAGGTTCCATCCCCGGATCTGTTGGTGCCAGTTTGAGAGAAGTGAATCTGACTGGTTCAACCTTCATCAGTGGGACAATTCCAACCAATTTTTGCTCTATTCAGCAACTAGACTTCGACTGCTCTGACATTCTTTGTGGTTGTGAGTGCTCCTGTGACATGGGTAAACAACCATAGTGTTGCAAGGTGAAGAGTACCAGTAAGGCTAGCTGGTTGCCTAAGAACTATGTTAGTGAATCTTCTCCCCTCACCAAATAAATGGTCGTTCATATTGAACTGATATACGAACGTGAACTCTAGTAGGTCGGTTGTCATCCACTGGGTACAAAAACATTTGGACTGTCAAACCATCCATAGCGTCAGAGCTCCCTGCAACTTCACGTTTGACAGGTCAACAAGTCATGTCATCAGGGCTACAAAGGTTGCTGCTTTGTGAAGGTGGTGTTGCCTCAAGCTTGTATGATAAGGTCATCACTTCTTGGAGCTCCAGTACTTTCGCAAGAACATTTCGTGTGCTGCTTTCGTGCTCGCTTCGGATGCTGGTTTGTTGATTGAATCGCATTCGATTGAGATTCGATTGGAAATCGATTCGATTCGATAGTTAGTAAAACGGTGCGGTCGTGCTTCGGGGAAAAGATAGATTCCACTTTTAGGTCAAGTGGAGCTACTAGACTATAGCAAGATCATGTCAATATGGG